AAGCTCAGCCTCTAGCTTAGTGGCCCTCTCATGGGCTGCAGCAAGCTTACCATCCCTGAGCGCGTCCTTCTCGCGGGCCGCCAAAAACTCGGACTCAAAATTAGAAGCCCTTTCATGAGCTGCCACAAGCTCACCCTCCCGAAGCACGTCCCTCTCACGGGTCACCAAAAGCTCAGAATCAAGCTCGACAATCCTCTCCTGAGCAGTAATAAGCTCCCTCTGCACAAGGCTAAGATCCAGCTTCAGCTTGTCTTGATTATAGGCCCTCGAAAGCAAGCAGATGGAGGAAGTCGAAACCTAAAAAAAAAAAAAAAAAGGAATAAGTGTGCAGCATACCGGGCTTCTTAGCAGCACCCCAATGTGTTGGCACCAAAACTCTGTCGGCTTCTGAAGCCCATTCTCCACCAATAAAGAAGAAACAAGATTTCCAGCCGCCGCAATTAGAGCGCATCCCTGTAAGCACTGTACCACTCCGCACGGTAAAATAATACCATCCCCTGTTTGGTGTAGGGGTTTCGCTCAAATTATATGCTGCATGAAACTCCATAGGGGAAGCATCCTCGTGGTGCACCTTTCTCCATAAGGCAAGAAAACCGAGCAGGACTCTCCAACCGTTGGGCGCTAGTCGCCCCGGAGTCAAGGAGAAGTAATGCAAAACACGACAAATGGGGGAGGACATGGGAAATCTTAACCCAGCCTCAAGCATCTCCTCGTAGACAACAATATCCCCGGAAGAGTCATCGCAAGCAAACTCGCCCAACTCAGCCCGACGGCACAACACGGTCGGAGGGATGCGATAAGTAAAAACAAGCCTTGAAATATCTTCATCTGAGCGGAACAAACTAGAAAGGGTGCTCACCTTAGACCCGTCATCATCAAGTCCCACTTTGCTCTTGCGCTTCTTCTTCCGCGGCCTTAAGGAGTAGTCCAAATCACCATTGGGAGAGTCTTGAGGAACTTGAATCGGGGGAGCTACAATAGGGGCTTGATCATCAAGAGCAGCACCCAAAGCTTCCTTACTACTTGCAATGTCTAGCCCAACGCCTGGAAGTGTGCCTGACTGCTGTTGCTCGTCAAAACAAAGTTGCCCAGTAGCTTGAAGGGTGCCTGGCCCTTCAAAATTGCGCAAAGCAGAATTTTTGGCGCAAAAATCAGCACCTAAGGCGCCCAAATCAGCGCCTCGAGTGGGAATCGGATCAGCCCGTGCTCCCAGGCCACTGCCTAGCTCTCTCTGATGAACCTTGGACTGATTTTCAGCGCCCCTTGATGGAAAAATGCTGCTGCCCAACATTCCAAAGCCGCCCAGCGCAGCAGAACTGAAGTTGTCCAGCGCAGCTGAGCTGTCCGGGACAGCAGAAGCAGTAGCCAGGCTGCTACCCAGCGAACCTGGGCTGTCCAGGATAGGAGGAGCAGAGCCCAGGCAGCCGCCCAGCCCCTTACCGCGCACGCGCTGCCCAACTGCACGCCTGCGCTACTCAAGCCACTCCTCGCGCTGCCCATCTCCCCTTCGCTGTCCAGCCCTTCATTTACAGCCCCAAAGCTGTCCAAGACAGCATTCGAATGCTCAAAACCAGCCTCCAAGTTCTCCAAAATGGTGTCTACTTCCTCCCTTTCTTCAACCTCCACCATTCCCTCTTCAATCGACATTGTTTACTTGAGAAGCTCAACTAGCAAGGAAGAAATCACGCTCTTGAAAGGATTCAAGGAGAACACACTTTGGCTTCAACAAAATGGGTAGGACTTGAGTTCTCAAGGTTTTCAAGAGGTGGATGCTCAACCTTAAAAATGAGTGAAATGGGTAACATGAAGAAGAAGACTATATTTATAGTCTAAGGTTTTTCAAAAAGAGGGAAAAAGCTCAAATAGAAAATTATGGGCCCTTTTCAAAATAAAAAGGCCAAATAGAATATTATGGACCCTCTTCAAAATAAAGTGGGAAAGACTTGAAGTTTAAAATAATAATAATAATAATAATAATAATATAGTCAATGCCTCATTCTCCAAGTCTCATTGGACATGGGGCATTGAGGGGCAAATGATGGGTTAAGCCCAAATAGTCCAATTTATGTGTTAAAGTTCAACCCCAGTGGAGGAGCCCAACCTCATTTTGAATCCACCAAGCCCAAGACAGTCCAAGACCGATTAGAATTTTTGCTTAGTACGTCATCAAGAAAAGAGCATGGGAAGCTTATCTACACCACCGAAGAAAACAGTCCAATCTTTGACCACGTTTCATAAAGAGCTCCCCAACCTCCTCCTTCCATTGAGGATAAGTCATGATCTCTACCAGAATGATCTCTTAGCTGCGATAAAGTAGCCTTGAGGATAAGTCATGATCTCCACAAGAATGATCTCTTAGCTGCTATAAAGTAGCCTCAATCTATTAGGAGACTACTATAAATGGCACGCCCCACCAACACTTACAGATGACAGACTGACGACCGGAGACCACTGCTTCTTTGATTCTCCATTCTCTCAAAGATTGTATCTCTATTCTCCATACTTCTGAATTAATAAAATACTCGGCAACTGAAGCCATTGAAAAATGGACGTAGGTCGAATTAACCGAACCACTATAAATCGTGTCTTCTTTAATTTTCTCATTGATTTCACTGCATTTATATCTACACTTGACAGGTGGTATGCAAAATCATTTTTGTGCATCATCAATTATTACTCTCCAAATATAAACACATATCTAGTAGAGTATCAATAAAATAGTCTACAATTTTATTTTTTTGGTAAGTAATAGTTTACAATTGGTCATACTTTATATCCATACAAATGGCATATACATCTTCAAAGAGTAATATCAATGTTTTTTATTTCAAGTAATATGATATATTTTTTATCATTAAATATTAATAAAATTTACTTATTTAATAATAAAAAATTATATCATATCACATCACTTAAGATAAAAAATTTGATAACAAATCCCGATGAGTATAACATTATTACTCTTCGAAATATCTATTTTAAGTGGATCACGAGCAGTACACGTGGGAGGACACAAGTCTATGACAACCATTCATTTTTCTTCTTTCTATTATTTCCTTAGATCATTCTACTTATAAATTTTTTTATTCAAATCCATCCAACGACAAAGTTTGCATTAATAGTACAGCTAACTCAATATCCGTACTGCCCATTGTCAAATGGTTTACCTTGCTCCCATGTACCGGTAAGTGTAGTTTATAAGTTAAAATCCACGTACACCTCGCGTGGTGTCAGATAAATTTAAATTTTAATAATTTATTATGATCAAATTATAAGAAATTTATCATTTATTAATATTTTAATTTTAGTGTTGATAGACATACTTTTAATCAGACCGAAAAAAAAATTAATTACGGTGCATATAAACTGATCTAGATACACCGCACTATCTAAAAAAAATATTATGCAAAAATAACAAAACATCAAAATTTCATCCTATATATAAGTGTACCACGACGGCCTGGCATATCTTTCAACATTTGTTTACGTTTTTGTTTTTGTTTTCGTGTTTTCTCTTGTCCGAGTTGGATCAATTTTTTTAACCTTGGTTGAATAAATAGTAATACAAATATATAAATTTATAAGTGAATTAGTGTTATATCTATATCTATATATATATATATAGAGAGAGAGAGAGAGAGATTTGTATTGATTGTTTTTCCAAAAATAATAATCAAATATTTTTTTTTTTTACTTACAAAAATTATCAAACGTTCACATCAATTAATCTTCTATAAATGTTACTGATATTTAATTTGTTGACTTAATTACTCTCTATGCTTAAATTGACATTGGACCTATTATCAATTGAGATCATTATCAATTTTACAATATTAAGGGGTGGATTAAATAGTCATAATAAATTAAAACTCTTTAATCTAATCATATTACGTTTGGTTATTAAAAATATTTCATATTAATTATATCTAGGTTTATTTTGTATACGGTGTAAAATACGTATACGAAGAATACACTCAATCCTTACTATTGAGCCAATTTTAATATCATTTGAAGAGATGATATTGTTATATAGTACAACTGTATTTGGTTATATTTTACTAATTTGTCCACCAAATAAACAAAAACATGAATAATTATATTAAATTGATGATTTTTTTGTTAATATATAATTAATACTTTATTATCTCACTCTTAATCTAGTGTCTTCTCAAATACTAAATTACAATGGGTATTATTTTTATTTTATATTTAATCTTGTATTTTATTCATTTATACATAATTAGTCTGTATTAAATAATTCAATTCTTTCTTTTATAATACGGTAAACGAGCCTACTTCAAAATAATATTTTTCAGTTGACTAGTCATTTGGATTAGGGTAAATTCTATTTTTTCCCTTAAAAAATAAAAAAAAATTTAGTTTGCCTGATTAACTTTTTTATATTGCCCTTAAAAGAACAAAAATCGTTATAATGTGGTCCATTATCTTATTTTTATTTGATCGTCTATCTATTTTGTGCAAAAATCAATCAATTAAGAATTACAAAATAAATGAATTAAACGAAAATAAAATGATGGATTATATTATAATATTTTTTATTCTTTTAAAGGGTAATATAAAAATATTTTTATATCTTTGACAGGGCAAAATGAGATTTTCCCTTTGGATTATTCTACCCACCAAATGCTTCATTCTGAAATAAATTCCTACCGGCCACCTCACCCCTTCTCTCTTTCTATCTCTCTCCCAAGTCTTCATTCGGAGTCTTCGTCCATTTCCGATCTCACATCTTTCAGACATGGACAGTCACTCTCTACAAATTCAACCATAGCATCTCTCTCTCTCTCTCACTCACTCTCTCTTTAAGTCTGCCTTCGGAGTCTCCATCCTTACCATTTCAGCTCTCTAAATCTTTCAGAGACGCACACAGCCTAAGCCTATCTATCTCTTCAAACTCAACCAGTACTGCCACACCATTACGTTTCGTTTCAATCTTCAAACGCCAGCGGTTTATCTTTTTCTTTCACCCATCTGTGAACATGTTCTTCTCACGGCCCCTTTCTTCAGTTACTCTGTTCATTTGCTTGGTGACTTTTGCATCTGGCGCCACTCTTGTGCCTTCTGAAGGTATTAAATAATGCGTGTGAGACTGACTGATCTCTTGGACTTTTTCACAAACACACGATCTGCGTAAACTTTGCATGCCTTTTTGGATCATTTTTACCTCTTTGATTTTCCTTTTCTGGTGCTCTTCAGTATCCGAATGAAAGGTAGTTTATATATATATGTGTGTGCGCTTTATCTGTTGTTGTCACAGTGGAAGCTTTGAAGCAAATTGCGAAGACGTTGGGGAAGACGAATTGGAACTTCAGCGTAGATCCATGCAGTGGACAGTCGGGTTGGGTCAGAAACGGTCAAGTAAAAGGAGCAGAGAACGCGGTCACATGTAATTGTTCATTTCCCAATGACACGTGTCATGTCACCAGCATGTACGTATCTTTCTCCTCCCTCTATTCATTCTGGCGCCAATCTGTCCTCCTCTCACCTCTCGTGCCTGTGTTGCAAATGAATCAATTCCGTAATTATCAGGCCAACTGTTAATCTCAAAATATCAGTGAGATATTTGTGTTCAATGGGTGACCGACTATGTTCCATTAAAAAAGTACACAATATCATTCGTGTACATACTTAACATAATTCATACATCACACAAATTCTAAGTAATATGATTTATTAGACATGAATTAAATATAAATTAAATATTTTTTTTTGATATAAATCCACTAAAACTTGATATAAATCTAACTCTTCCAACACAATTGAGAAGCCTACGTCCTTCCCGGGGTTTAAACTTGTCTTTCCAATTCGGTCGACTTGGCAAATATTTTGTCTAAGCTCGAGTTCAACTTAACTTATCTAGTTAAAATTACTTAAATTTGAGATTATGTTTTGAAAAGAAAATGACAGGTNGTGGAGGAGCCCAACCTCATTTTGAATCCACCAAGCCCAAGACAGTCCAAGACCGATTAGAATTTTTGCTTAGTACGTCATCAAGAAAAGAGCATGGGAAGCTTATCTACACCACCGAAGAAAACAGTCCAATCTTTGACCACGTTTCATAAAGAGCTCCCCAACCTCCTCCTTCCATTGAGGATAAGTCATGATCTCTACCAGAATGATCTCTTAGCTGCGATAAAGTAGCCTTGAGGAAAAGTTATAATCTCCACAAGAATGATCTCTTAGCTGCTATAAAGTAGCCTCAATCTATTAGGAGACTACTATAAATGGCATGCCCCACCAACACTTACAGATGACAGACTGACGACCGGAGACCACTGCTTCTTTGATTCTCCATTCTCTCAAAGATTGTATCTCTATTCTCCATCCCTCTGAATTAATAAAATACTCGGCAACTGAAGCCATTGAAAAATGGACGTAGGTCGAATTAACCGAACCACTATAAATCGTGTCTTCTTTAATTTTCTCATTGATTTCACTGCATTTATATCTACACTTGACAGGTGGTGTGCAAAATCATTTTTGTGCATCATCAATTATTACTCTCCAAATATAAACACATATCTAGTAGAGTAATTCTCATCAATAAAATAGTCTACAATTTTATTTTTTTGGTAAGTAATAGTTACAATTGTTCATACTTTATATCCATACAAATGGCATATACATCTTCAAAGAGTAATATCAATGTTTTTTATTTCAAGTAATATGATATATTTTTTATCATTAAATATTAATAAAATTTACTTATTTAATAATAAAAAATTATATCATATCACATCACTTAAGATAAAAAATTTGATAACAAATCCCGATGAGTATAACATTATTACTCTTCGAAATATCTATTTTAAGTGGATCACGAGCAGTACACGTGGGAGGACACAAGTCTATGACAACCATTCATTTTTCTTCTTTCTATTATTTCCTTAGATCATTCTACTTATAAAATTTTTTTATTCAAATCCATCCAAAGACAAAGTCAGCGTTGCATTAATAGTACAGCTAACTCAATATCCGTACTGCCCATTGTCAAATGGTTTACCTTGCTCCCATGTACCGGTAAGTGTAGTTTATAAGTTAAAATCCACGTACACCTCGCGTGGTGTCAGATAAATTTAAATTTTAATAATTTATTATGATTAAAAAAATTTATCATTTATAAATATTTTAATTTTAGTGTTGATAGACATATTTTTAATCAGATCGAAAAAAAATTAATTACGGTGCATATAAATTGATCTAGATACACCGCACTATCTAAAAAAAAAATTATGCAAAAATAACAAAACATCAAAATTTCATCCTATATATAAGTGTACCACGACGGCCTGGCATATCTTTCAACATTTGTTTACGTTTTTGTTTTTGTTTTTGTGCTTTCTCTTGTCCGAGTTGGATCAATTTTTTTAACCTTGGTTGAATAAATAGTAATACAAATATATAAATTTATAAGTGAATTAGTGTTATATCTATATCTATATATATATATATAGAGAGAGAGAGAGAGAGAGATTTGTATTGATTGTTTTTCCAAAAATAATAATCAAATATTTTTTTTTTTACTTACAAAAATTATCAAACGTTCACATCAATTAATCTTCTATAAATGTTACTGATATTTAATTTGTTGACTTAATTACTCTCTATGCTTAAATTGACATTGGACCTATTATCAATTGAGATCATTATCAATTTTACAATATTAAGGGGTGGATTAAATAGTCATAATAAATTAAAACTCTTTAATCTAATCATATTACGTTTGGTTATTAAAAATATTTCATATTAATTATATCTAGGTTTATTTTGTATACGGTGTAAAATACGTATACGAAGAATACACTCAATCCTTACTATTGAGCCAATTTTAATATCATTTGAAGAGATGATATTGTTATATAGTACAACTATATTTGGTTATATTTTACTAATTTGTCCACCAAATAAACAAAAACATGAATAATTACATTAAATTGATGATTTTTTTGTCAATATACAATTAATACTTTATTATCTCACTCTTAATCTAGTGTCTTCTCAAATATTAAATTACAATGGGTATTATTTTTATTTTATATTTAATCTTGTATTTTATTCATTTATACAGAATTAGTCTGTATTAAATAATTCAATTCTTTCTTTTATAATACGGTAAACGAGCCTACTTCAAAATAATATTTTTCAGTTGACTAGTCATTTGGATTAGGGTAAATTCTATTTTTTCCCCTAAAAAATACAAAAAAATTTAGTTTGCCTGATTAACTTTTTTATATTGCCCTTAAAAGAACAAAAATCGTTATAATGTGGTCCATTATCTTATTTTTATTTGATCGTCTATCTATTTTGTGCAAAAATCAATCAATTAAGAATTACAAAATAAATGGATTAAACGAAAATAAAATGATGGATTATATTATAATATTTTTTATTCTTTTAAAGGGTAATATAAAAATATTTTTATATCTTTGACAGGGCAAAATGAGATTTTCCCTTTGGATTATTCTACCCACCAAATGCTTCATTCTGAAATAAATTCCTACCGGCCACCTCACCCCTTCTCTCTTTCTATCTCTCTCCCAAGTCTTCATTCGGAGTCTTCGTCCATTTCCGATCTCACATCTTTCAGACATGGACAGTCACTCTCTACAAATTCAACCATAGCATCTCTCTCTCTCTCTCACTCACTCTCTCTTTAAGTCTGCCTTCGGAGTCTCCATCCTTACCATTTCAGCTCTCTAAATCTTTCAGAGACGCACACAGCCTAAGCCTATCTATCTCTTCAAACTCAACCAGTACTGCCACACCATTACGTTTCGTTTCAATCTTCAAACGCCAGCGGTTTATCTTTTTCTTTCACCCATCTGTGAACATGTTCTTCTCACGGCCCCTTTCTTCAGTTACTCTGTTCATTTGCTTGGTGACTTTTGCATCTGGCGCCACTCTTGTGCCTTCTGAAGGTATTAAATAATGCGTGTGAGACTGACTGATCTCTTGGACTTTTTCACAAACACACGATCTGCGTAAACTTTGCATGCCTTTTTGGATCATTTTTACCTCTTTGATTTTCCTTTTCTGGTGCTCTTCAGTATCCGAATGAAAGGTAGTTTATATATATATGTGTGTGCGCTTTATCTGTTGTTGTCACAGTGGAAGCTTTGAAGCAAATTGCGAAGACGTTGGGGAAGACGAATTGGAACTTCAGCGTAGATCCATGCAGTGGACAGTCGGATTGGGTCAGAAACGGTCAAGTAAAAGGAGCAGAGAACGCGGTCACATGTAATTGTTCATTTCCCAATGACACGTGTCATGTCACCAGCATGTACGTATCTTTCTCCTCCCTCTATTCATTCTGGCGCCAATCTGTCCTTCTCCTCTCACCTCTCGTGCCTGTGTTGCAAATGAATCAATTCCGTAATTATCAGGCCAACTGTTAATCTCAAAATATCAGTGAGATATTTGTGTTCAATGGGTGACCGACTATGTTCCATTAAAAAAGTACACAATATCATTCGTGTACATACTTAACATAATTCATACATCACACAAATTCTAAGTAATATGATTTATTAGACATGAATTAAATATAAATTAAATATTTTTTTTTGATATAAATCCACTAAAACTTGATATAAATCTAACTCTTCCAACACAATTGAGAAGCCTACGTCCTTCCCGGGGTTTAAACTTGTCTTTCCAATTCGGTCGACTTGGCAAATATTTTGTCTAAGCTCGAGTTCAACTTAACTTATCTAGTTAAAATTACTTAAATTTGAGATTATGTTTTGAAAAGAAAATGACAGGTTTGAGCATACCGTTCGGAAATTTCTTCTTTGGAGGCTATTAATCGGTTATCAGGCACCATCCATTCCCCCAATCCTTTTTCTCTTTCTCTCACCTTGTTTTAAAAACAATAGGCCACCCATCATCAATGTAGGGCATGCTTATTTAAGTAAGATTCCCCATGTCACACAGGGTGATTTGACCTTTTTTTTCTCTCCATTATTATGAAATAATGATAGAATTCGAACTCTTTGACATTTTTTTCCCTCTATTATTTTATTTTTATAATTCATATTCGAATGTGTTAACATTTTAAATTTCAAACCAAAATTTGATCCGATTCAATCTGAATAACTTAATTAACTAAATATTAACAAATTTATTCCTAAATTTCAACTATTTTTTTTAAATAATCACTCAATTTTTGTATTATTTATATATAATATATAAATATTTTAGATCGAATCGAATATAAGTATATTCAAATTTGAATCCGTAAAATGTAAAATATTGAATTCGGATTATCGATACAAAAATTTATTTATATTCGATTAATTAAATTTGGATCTATTGACGAGTCTACTCATAACCATTAGAGTGAAAGTGAATTCTAATTTTTTGTTTGAACCTGTTATCAATTTAATGATTACGAGGTCAACAAATTATTTTTATTGCATTAGTAAGTGGGGAGGTAGTTGCTGCTGCTGGTCAAATAGCTTCTAGGTCAACTGGTCAAACAATGCATTCTTAAATTTTAAATGTTTAGGCCCAATAAATTTTATTTCAGTCATATTATTTCTCTTAAAATTATCATTAATCTTTATCTCATCCATCATTCTTTTGTCAAACTTAAACGTCAAATCGCATCACTTATTTCTATTATATGTTTAATTATTTATATATTTATTTTTTAAAAATATCACATTACTCATTTTTATTATATATTTAATTATTTAATATTTAATTAATTTGTAGTTAATATATTTAAAAAAAATTAATATAATGAAATCGATTTTTTGAACGTTTAAATTTTATATTTTATCGTATTTTCAGGCATACGAATTATAACTAATATATATATATATATGTAGAGAGAGAGAGAGAGAGAGAGAGAGAGAGAGAGAGAGAGAGAGAGAGAGAGAGAGAGTACCTTTGGCCCTACTATTTTGGTGTCCGAACGACCACCGCGACTTTGATAAAGTTGTCACTTGTCAGCTTGTGAGGACCTGGGTTTTGTCCCTATCCGATTCTTCCTCATTTCGGACTTGTTAGGCCTTGTTTGGTTTAGATTTTAGAAATTATTTTCTATTTTTAGAAACAGTTTCTGAAATAAAAAATTATTTGGTCAATTATTTTTTTTTATTTGGTCAATTAAATTTAAATAACAAGTTAGAATTATTTTGTATATTTTTAAGAATAATATTTTTAAAATTTAGAAAACTCTATCACTAGCATACTTCTACCACTACCACCATGACGTCCATCACACCACCACCACCACCACTACACTTTCATTGCCACCACATTTCTATTTTTATTGTTTTTTAGGTTACTGTTCAAATAAGTTTTAATGTTTTATATTCTATAAAACTGTTTTTGGAATTATATAATCAAATAAGTTCTACGATATAAAAAACACTAAAAATAATTTTTTTAAATTCTTTACAAAAATAATTTTCGGATACAATTTTTTGAGAAGTAAATCAAATAAGACCTTAATTAACTGATAGACAGATTATAAGGATCAGATTATAGGGTTAGAACGCAAATTTTGGGTACAACATAATCAAATATGACAACATGTTTAAGGGTGTTCACCCTACTCTACAGGGAGAAATTATAATATTTCATCTTCTTATCCGATATTATATGAAAGGATTTTTTTTTAGCATACCTTACTCGATCAAGTGTACTATTTCTATCCCAATTCCGTTCAAAACAATCAGGTAAGAAGTTGATTAGAAAATTGAGTGAACACATATTTTTTAGTTATTAATTTTTGGATCATTTTAACAATTTAATTAAAAAAATACAATAAACCAATAATACTAAAAAAACACAATAAATTTAGAGTAATACTACATAGACTTAAAAATTAGACTTGATAATTTCAACAATTGAATAGATAGTGGGTCCCAATAAATGTTGGGATCCACAGTAAAATCTATAGTTGAGATTATCAAGTCTAGTTTTTAAGTCTATTTTTTAAGTCCATGTAACATTGCTCATAAATATAATAATACATAAACAATTACAATAAAATACAAAAAAAAAGTCATAAATATCAATACATCATATATAAGAAAGTCATAAATATCAATAAAACATTAGAGTTTATACGTGTACATATACACACAAAAATTCTGTAGCTATTGTGCATTTTTACCAGGGTTTTTGCAAAATATCAAAATATCTTCTGTTGGTCTACTCAATTTTTTCGGGTAACCGATAAGTGGTCCACCCCCATCCCAGGTGCATCATCATTTGTTATGTACACGAGCACATCCTATGTGCAATTATCAAACAAATGATAGAACGAATAGCAGATGAAACCGACTAGATGAAAGGCAAGGATGATTCATTGACCGATTGTTGAGAGAATTAAAGGTTACCAACTAATTTGGGGCAAATCGATTACTCGATCAATAAAAGCATTCCCCACTAGCAATCCCCGAAAGTTAATCAAAGTTGACAGACTCACCCTCCCCTCTCAAAAAATTTTTTAGTGTTTCGTGGGGGTTGAGAGTAATGTTATAGTTATTTGTTCTTTGTTGATTGTGGGTAAGTTGGGGGTGAGAAGTGGTTTTCCCTATCACGTCTAAAAACTTACTCTCCTTTAAAATGCAGTGTTCTCAAGTCACAAAATCTTCCAGGCACATGTCCACCAGAACTGGTTAAACTGCAATACCTTCACGAGATGTGAGTACTTCTGCTTCAAAACTATTTTATCCTTCCCAAGTTTTTGCCCATATGTTATTTGGATCCTTTCAATTCAATTTTGTTAGTTTGGATCGAATTCGTTTATTAAATGTTAAATTTATAAGTCCAGTAAAAATTCCATATTGTGGCCCAATATTGATGGTCAACTATTTAGTGACATAATCTTTCTAAACTTTTGTCGCTCCCCTGCAAATTCACGCGTTGAGAGTTAATTTTTTGTGAATTCACGTTCTTATTTTACAAAATTCATAATTCTTAATTTTTAATTTTGCGAATCCTAGTAATGCGCATCTTTACTTACTTATTATTACTCAAATTTTTATTTAAAAAGTATGGATAAAATAATATTTTATAAATTATAATAACCATTTTAAAAATTTATAATCAACATATATTTAAAAATTAAATAGCTTGTCTCCTAGTTGTGTATAAAATTTTAATTTTAATTTTTTTATATTAAAATTTAATAGATGAATATGAGAATATATATCTATAATATAAATTATGACAGATTTTTAATAAGTTATCCGATGACAAATAAATTATTCATATTATATCGTATCTTTATATACAAATTATCCTAATATCTATATAATATAATATAACGTTTTCAAGATACTCCCGCCCTCAATTTATTTTTTTTAATGTTTCCGTTTGTGTGCTTTGGCTTCACTCCTGCTCAATATGTGGTCTAGCTGTTGATGCTGTGACTCAATTTCCCTCTCTCTCTGGTTCATATAGCGACTTAACCCGCAACTACCTTAACGGCACTATCCCTCCAGAATGGGGTTCCATGAAACTAGTGAACATGTACGTACCAATCTCTCTCTCTCTCTCTCTCTCTCTCACACACACACACACACACGGACGTTTTTCTTGCTCTTAACACTAATGGAACAGTGTTACTGCAGCTCCCTTCTTGGAAATCGATTAACTGGTTCAATCCCAAAGGAGCTTGGAAACATAAGCACACTTGTAAATGTGTAAGACTACTTATCTTTTTCGTTCCCATTTAATTTTGTGAATAGCCCAGATGATTTTCTTGCTAATATTGGAATATTGATTTTTGATGTCCATAGAACCCTCGAATTCAATCAGTTGAGTGGAGTTATTCCTCCAGAGCTTGGGAATCTTAGTCGCCTGGAGAAATTGTAAGACCCTTTTACCTGTAAAATGAGTCAATAGTTTCGATTTTGTATATTCACATAATGATTTTATTGCATGTGTAATTTATTTTAGTTGAGATGTTCTTCAAACATTTTTTCTTTTTTTGTGATGATTGTCAATTGATCAATGGGTTAATTTTGATCAATTTCTTGTTGAAGACATCTAACTTCAAACAATATTTTTGGGGAGTTGCCCGGAACACTTGCAAAGTTGACCGCACTGAAGGACTTGTAAGTGCCATAAGTTTCTTTCATTTTTCTTTGGGGGTTCTAATTCCTATGATTCAGTTTTCAATTATGAATTCAATTACTCATGATTACCCCAAATGCAGTCGAATTGGTCAAAACCACTTCACCGGAAAGATACCCAGTTTCATTGAGAATTGGACAAATCTTGAAAAATTGTGAGGCTTTGACGTTCATTTGATATTTCAGTTATCCTTCAATTTCATAAGTTCTGTATCAGAATTATACTACACTCAAAAACTTTGTAATGGTAGAGTGATTCAAGCAAGCGGCCTGGATGGGCCATTTCCTTCTAGCATTGCTCTTTTGACAAAAATGACTGACATGTGAGTAAAAACTTGTAAGCTTATTGCTTGTATCCATTTGCTATGACTGAATAGTGGTTTATGTTTGTTAAAATATACAGGAGAATCAGTGACTTAAGTGGAACCGAATCAAGCTTTCCACCCGTTCGTAATATGAGGGGTCTCAAGACACTGTGAGTTGAATGCTTTAACATTGCTCTATCGGTTGAGAAATATTATTCCCTTCTTGATGACTCATGTAAACTCGATTATCCAGGATACTGAGGAGTTGCAACATTGTGGGACAGTTACCTCCTTATCTTGGGAACCTGACAAACTTGAAAGTTTTGTGAGTAGATTTAGCTTGCCGTATTATGTTATTGTGATTAATCAGAATTGGACCATAATGAAATTTTATATGAGCACCATAATATCAGATTGGGGAGGAAAAGTCGAAATGCAAACATTTATCCCAAACACTATGAGATGGTGATATTTTACATACCATTATTTTCATACACATAATAATGTGAAAAGAAGTCACGGCTTGCCCCACTTTTTTTCCTTTGGGCTTTTCGTTAGTGGGAGCACCATTGGTGCTTGCAAGCACCTCTTGTATGCGACCTTGTTTTGCCCTTGGAAGTTCATAGTTTTGTGTTGTCAGAAAATGATCAATTTGCTGCTAAAAAGCTAAGAGTATGCGACCTTGTTTGCCCTTGGAAGTTCATAGTTTTGTGTTGTCAGAAATTGATAAATTTGCTGCTAAAAAGCTAAGAGTATTGACGTTGTAGTTTAAATATCTGAAAATTGGTCAGGCATCAACTTCACGTGTCTGTTTGCAAGTGTGTGCATGCATCTTTCCGTGATTGATGACAATTCTAGGGGTGCAACTCGGCGGGTTGGACAGTCAACCCTAACCCAACCCTATATATATAATCTTCAACTCTAACCGTAATCCTAACCTTACCTTAACCTGAAGAACTCAACCCAAGTACTGCTCGAGTTTAATTCGGGCGAGCTCGGGTTGAATTCGAATTAATGATTTGGGATTACTTTACAAGTTTAATTCGGATTGAGTTCGGGTTGAGCCCAAAATAGGCTTCTTATTGTAAACCTGATACATATATTACATAATATTCACCTAAATTAACAACCAACATCTTCAATCAAGTTTTTAACATAAAAATCATAATATTAAGAACTCAATGTTTGAGATAATGCAACCACAACCATACAAAACACAAATAGTAATTTAATGTTTAACAGAGCCAAACAAAACACAACCAAAAGTTAATGTTTAACATAAACACATAAATTATAATAGTAATTTAACACAAACATAAACATAACACAAAACAAGAAAATTAAACCAAATGACACAGTCACTGCCCACTGCCTAGTGACACAACCATAGCCATTGCCACTAGTCCACTACTGCCACTATTACCACAACACAACCATTGCCCACTGCAACCATTGCACAGCAGTGGACTGGTCTGAGATTCGTGTAGCAATTTTAGTTGTTCGAAAAGAATAAAAAATTAAAATTTACTTCTTAGGTCATTTTAAATTTACAATTGAAAAAATCTGAGTATAAAATATTGCCCTTGAAAATATCTGAAAATAAAAATAAAATAACTCTGAAAATGTGAAAATAAAAATGAAAATTGCATACCTAATCTGATCTGATCTGAGATAGATGAAGGGAGAGGCGTAGACGATAGATCTGCTTTGATATTAAATCTGATTTTTTGATCTGAGATGAGATCTGACCTAAAATTTCCCTTCAAGCGTAGATCTCGCAGATGAAAGGGAAAGTGAGTGATAAAGGGAGGCAGAGAGAGAAATGAGTGACGATTGAGGGAGGGAGGGGAGCTGAGACTCTGAGATGACTTAGACGAAAGAGGCTGAGAGAGGGAGCAGGCGTAGGGGAGATCTGAGAGATCTACAGGTGAGAGAGTGAGAGATAGATCTGACAGTGAGAGTGAGAAATAAATCTGAGAGTGAGGGAGGCACACGAATATTTGGGTTGAAGACTGAAGGTTAACCATAGTAGACTGAAGGATATATTTATATTTATGAATATCCGGGTTGAACCCGATTTAATATTCGGGTTCAACCCATAAACCCAAGGTCCACCCAAATTCAATTCAGGTTAAGGGTTTTTGGCTTAGGCACAATCTAAGTATTAAAAATTTTTAACTCAAACTCTAACTTTTTTTAGATTGGACTCGGGTTGAAATTGGGTTAGACCGTCCAAATTGCACCACTAGACAATTCATGTTGAATCAAGCTAGGGCATTTAGTTTCATAAGCAATTGAATTATATGGGAATTAAATATTTATTGAAAGACAATTACAAGGCTCCATTTGCACATACAATCCCAGGCAATAGATGAGTTGTGAACGTCCAAAGATGACCACAAAAATGCTTAGCATGAAGAATTGGGAACTAACAGAATTTCGTAATCACTCTTATATTTGACTTTGACATTCATGTGATGCTGATACTCGGGTTTCAAATTTTCCAAATTCAAATGAAATGGTATGGTAACAAAGAGGATTCCTAGTGATCTTATTACATATTCATTTGTGTTTGTCTTGCAGAGACCTCAGCTTTAACAAACTAAGTGGACAAATTCCAAACGACTTTGAGGGTCTATTAAATACACAGTATCTGTAAGGATTTCGACTCTTAGTTGTTGATTTTGTTATGTCGTGCTCTGAATCCTAATTTTCATTGGGCTGATGGTACTTTTTAAGAACATCCAACTGGGTTAATAGCCATGATAAGCCATGATCCAACGGCTGAATGCAAACAATTAACTATAACGAACACGATCAACCGACAGTTCTACACTGATCGACTTGAACCCAAAGGAAGCCTTCTATGTCTCAAGCTGGACAACCCTTGAACATGACTTAAAGTCCTCTTCTATTCTATTAAGGGTTAATTGCACTAAAGGTTCCCAAAGTATAGAGTTTTTCTCATTTTGACCTTCAATATTTCAATTGCATCATTTTGGTTTCTGAAGTATTAAATATGTTTCTATGTGATCTCTCAAGCAGACAACATCCAATTTACTAACAGTTTTTTATCATAAACTTTTCACGTGATATCTAAATATGGACAAAAAATAATTTGAGTAACTCTTGACCAAAATTTGGGTAACTCTTGACAAAAATGTGTAATATGAGTAGTTTTTGACCAAAATTTAGATAGTTCATGACCAAAACTGTGTAATTTGAGGTAGCTCTTTGAATAAAATTTGGGTAGAAATTTGGTCAAGAGTTATCCAAATTATTTTGCCCATATTCAGGTATTACATGACAAGTTTATAATAAAAAATCGTTAGTAATTTGGACTTTGTCTGCTTAGGGATCGCATAAAAACATATTTAATATTTTAGGGACTAAAATGATGCAATGAAAATATGAAAAACCAAAATGAGACAAATCTCATACTTTGGGGACCTTCGGTGCAATTAACCCATCCTTTAACTTCAATGAGGATTGAGGACCTAAAACAAAACAAAAAATGGGAAGTAGGCAACCTTGTAGGTCTCCCAGAGATGGGAAGTAGACACTGTGAGTTGAGTTCTTTCTGTTTTTATCCCTTTTTTTTCTGAGCAGCCTTGGATTTGAGTTCAATGTCTGTATATCTCTGAAAGTTGCATATTGAAAGTTGTTAGAAATGCTTGAATTGGTGCATCATATTTCTCTTTTTTTGTTTGTTGAGTAGCCTTGGATTCCAGTTCAATGGGTGTATATCTCTGACAGTGCATAAATTGAGTAACTTCTAGAAAATGCTTGAATTAGCGCATCATTGGAACTTTAGGATTACCACTCTTTTGGTGGTCACAAACTGATGCTATTTTAGTGGTAAAATGACCAAGTCATGCTAATGCCAGATCCTAGTTTTGCATGCTTGTTTAAATGGAAACTCTACATTGCTACTTTAGAGCTAAAATTATTAAATCATACTAATTCTTGATATCAATTTTGTGCAGTTATTTAACTGGAAACTTGCTATCTGGACCTGTGCCTGATTGGATGGTGAAAGGAGGAAAGTACTAGTAAGTTTCTCTTCCATTATGTAAAAAAAGTTTGAAATTCAAGCCAATCAGCATGGGGTGAAAAAAGTGGATTTCACCCAAATCACCTCTTCTTAGCTTAAAGTGGCATTTGTAGATCCTATCATGAAGAATGATATTGCCTGTGCAAAATGTACAATCAATCTACTGGTTGCATGGTTACAATAAATAGTATTCCAGAATTTATTCTTTCAAATAGGATACATGGAAATTTATATTCAGGAAAGAAGGGTAGAGACTTGAGAGGAGAATCAGTTATCTACTAATTGTTTTTAAACTTGTCATTTAGCACACATGAATCATAATTGTTATGCTCGTGCTACTGAATCATAACGTGAATTTTCTGTGCAGTGACCTTTCATTCAACCAGTTTACAGATCGTAACACCGCCTTAAGTTGTCAACGAGGAAGTGTGTAAGACTATTTGGATTCTCCTTCAGATCATCATCATCATAGTCCTCACAGTTTCTATTTCCATTACTAATCGTTATGTTATTATATTACCGCCTGAACTTCACACTTTTTATTATTCTATATAGGAACTTGTACGGAAACTCGCCAAGTCTCAATGCAACGTAAGATTCTAAACCTGTACAAGACTTCAATTATAGTATTTGGGGTGAACTGCATTGTACATCCTAGTCGTTTGGGTCCAAACACACCTCACCCTTGTGATCAGAAATGTACATTTTACCCCTCGCCAAAGTCTTGGATTAAAGTGCTACAGCTAACTTGAGTGATGATTTAATATAGAACGATAATAATATGCTTGAATTTCCTTTAATTGTTTTTCATATTTTTCTCCCTAAAACCAATTTACTAATTGGAAAATATGGGTACAGTACAAGTGGAGACGAGAGAAAGAGAAAGGTCTATTTAAAAACAAAAAAGAAGGATATAATGCATATAAGGAGATAACACTCATTGTAGCATGTTATTTTACTGAAATTTTGGACTTCTGACCTTTGACTCCAATTTCAACTGAAATTTAAAGAATGACACTCAATTCCATAGTCCTAAATGGGGCAAAGTGTAGGTTTGCAAATTATATGGAGATAAGGTGCTTGGGGCCAAAACCATGATAGTTACTGTTACCGGCAGACTCCTTTTGAATATATTGGTTTGTTGTGTAACCCAAATTCCTAACATGATATGATGATAACTTCTGTGTTTTGAATTGTTTTGCCAGTGGAACTGTTTCTTGCTTGGGAAGCTCCAAATGTCCACGAAGTAAGTTACACATAAACTTCTCTTCTACTTACTTTTTCCCTTTAGTTTTGCACATTAGCTCCAGAAACTCGCATTAAGCCAATCTGTTTTTATGATAGTTTATAAATTCAATAAAATGTGACATTGTTACTATGAAAATGTTGAAGATGATTACCATGGAAAGTGGAAACCTAAAGGGGGCATGTATATATTGTACTTTGACTTTTGGGGTGGAGGGAGGACATTATCTCCCTTTTTTTTTCTTTATCTATGCATTTTTCCTTTCTTAAATGTGAGTAATCTTTCTTACTCAATTGTCTCAGATCTGTCCTATCTACTGCGAATAAACTGTGGTGGACGTGCAGTTCCTGATGGTAGGAACACATATCAGGATGATACAAATTTGGGTGGACCTTCATTTCTTTACCAAGGAAGTAATTGGGGGTTTAGCAGCACTGGTCACTTTTTGGATGACGACAGGACCGGAGACCCATATATTTCTCGGAACATCTCAAGTCTCTCTGCAAACACATCCGAGTTGTACATGGATGCACGACTCTCTCCCCTTTCTCTGACTTATTATGCGTTCTGTCTGCTGAATGGGAACTACAGTGTGGACCTCCACTTTGCAGAGATCGTGTTTACAGATGACCGAACTTATAGCAGCCTCGGGAGGCGCATATTTGATATATATATTCAGGTACTTGTTTCGCATTTTATGGGCAAGGTTATAAATGGAAAAAATTTTAAAAGAAAGGATAATGCTATTCATATTAATAGTAAGTACAAGGAAAACCAAATGGGCTAAGGTTAGTTCACAGGATTACAAAGTGGCACAATATCGGTTTAAAAAACACCGAGTTTAATCCTCATTAACAGGGGAGTGATAGGGGCAACTTGTATACGCACGGACCTAAGATTTGATAGTATTTGTACAAAGTGGGCCCTTGGGTTCGAACCCACAACCTAAAGGTTGTTGTGCCAAATTTTAACCATTGATGGTGGTTTTTTTTTCCCAGAAGAGTAGATCTAATGGCCGTGTATTTGTTCTAAGTGTAGACTATTTGTAATTTGAAGTTTTTCTATAGAAATTTAATCATTTTTCAAAATAAGGAACATAGAATAATTATGGGACTTTATTCTGTATTCCACCATGTCAAAGTGAATCCTAAACTTTCCTGTGAGCATATGCACTTCAGTTGTAATCGGATTAATTGCTTCAGGGAAATCGAGTGCTGAAGGATTTCAATATTGAGGAGGAAGCTGGTGGAGTTGGTAAGGCAATCATAAAACCATTCACTGCAGTTGTGAGTAATAATACCTTGGAGATCCGCTTCTATTGGGCTGGAAAGGGGACAACTGGTATGCCTGTTAGAGGCGTATATGGTCCTCTCATTTCAGCTATTTCTATTGTGAATCCCGGTAAGCTGTAAGCTTTCCATTAGCTTCATGTTTCTTGCTGTGTTTGTGGTGAAGCATTGACTCATGCTACTATGCACATTATGTTTTAAGTTGTTTCTTTGCTGCATATTGATTTCACAATGACCTGCCATGAAACGCGGGCCATCATGCTTCCTATTGTCCTTGTTTGAGGAGTTTGTGTCCCCATATCGACAGATTAGGGCCGTTATATGGTTGAGGGGCCTATCTACTTATTACCAACTGATTTGGGGTTAGACACTCTAATAGTTTTCATCCTTTTCTCCCCCACCCACACAGGGGACCAGGGGGCAGGAAATATTGCTAATGTTGGATTACTTTTCCATTATTCAGATGGCATTCATCATCTTAACAGCTTCACCTTTGCACCTTTTGTGTTCTTGTTTACACTTAATGCAGATATTATACCTCCATCAGAAAATGGAAACAGCATATCTGCAGGCACCGTGACAGGGATTGTGGTGGGAGTAGCATTTGGCATCTTCCTGGTTCTTGGTATCCTTTGGTGGAAAGGCTGTCTCCGACCTAAAGATACCATGGCACAAGGTATTCACAAACCAATCGAATATGGTATTAGTATCTTTTTGGCTTATGAAATTCTTTTTCTTTATGACACATGAAATTATATAGGCATCCTATCATGCACCGAAACCACAGTGCAATCTTATTTCAAGTTCAAAGTGTTCTTCCAATATGCGACTGGTTGACACCCGGAGCTGCAGTAATGACTTGTTCACACTTTGCCAGCATTCTCTCGCAGACAGTTTGAATGTGTCTGGATCTAGTGTTAATTGTTGTTTCAAATACTAGGATTATGATTTGCAATTTTTCTAGACTTGCCCGGCTATCTGAATCAGCTTATTTGGCAGATCTGAAGGGTTTAGACCTACACACTGGTTCATTTACCTTGAGGCAAATTAAAGCTGCCACAAACAATTTTGATGCTGCTAATAAGATTGGAGAAGGTGGTTTTGGTTCTGTTTACAGGGTAAGATGCACTTGGATACTTCCCCTTAGTTAATCATCTTTAAGCTATCATAACACACATCTTTCCTCCAACTAATACTCAAAAGACCAAGAAGTTCTAATATGTAAAACTGGCCACTCTTTCTCTATTGAAGGGACTTTTAGCAGATGGCACCATAATTGCCGTGAAGCAGCTTTCTTCCAAGTCAAAGCAAGGGAATCGTGAGTTTGTGAATGAAATAGGCATGATTTCTGCTCTGCAGCACCCTCACCTAGTGAAGCTGTATGGATGTTGTATAGAAGGAAATCAATTGTCGCTTGTGTACGAGTACATGGAAAATAACAGCTTGGCTCGTGCTTTGTTTGGTTAGCTTCAACCCCATGCTTTATTCTTCCTTTCAGATTATAACAGCAATACACTCTCTTGCCTATGTACACATGCATAAATAAGCTGCTCAGTATTTATTGGTTTGTGTACACTTGGATTTGAAGGCCCAGAAGAGTGCCAGTTGAAATTGGATTGGCGTACAAGGCACAAGATCTGCATTGGCATAGCAAGAGGTTTGGCTTATCTCCATGAAGAATCAAGACTGAAGGTTGTTCACAGAGACATCAAGGCCACCAATGTGCTGCTTGATAAGGATCTTACCCCTAAGATATCCGACTTTGGCTTAGCTAAACTTGATGAAGAGGAGAATACACACATAAGTACCCGAGTTGCTGGAACTTTGTGAGTCACCATGCTTAATTTGGAGTTCAACGGGGCAAGAGGGGATAAGGATTAATGGAATTATCAATATTGTTGTTACTTCTTTTCTCTGTTGGGATGATAGTTGTCATTTTCTTTTTTTATTTAAGGATTTTCCTTATAATGACTAAATGATATGCAGGCCTTAGGGAAAGTAAGTGACAAAATACTAAACTTTAATCTTGTTCTTAACAATAGTTAATGGCACACACCACAGAAAATGTGATGTGATATTTATGGTTTTCAGTGGATATATGGCTCCCGAATACGCAATGCGGGGTTACTTAACTGACAAAGCAGACGTTTATAGCTTTGGAATTGTTGCTTTGGAAATCATAAGTGGGAGGAGTAACACTAGTCAAAAGACAAAGGACCAGTGCTTTTATCTTCTTGATTGGGTAAGTCCGTTATCTTACTTTCTTGCATACACTGTTGCTCGTCTTCCGTTGTTTGTATCTTTTAGTGTTAAGCTGCATATGTTATGAAGAATGAGAATAGCAAGACAATGTTTCTTCTGCAAAAGTGGAGCTATTAAGTAGTGTGCATCACTAGGAGATGAATCTTTTGTTATAGAATAGACAATTCTCAGGAAAGATAGAAAGTTATTTTGTTCGATTACTCATCATTTTACGTTGCATATAGGGAAAATGATTTTAGCCATTATGTTAGTAACAAAATCTTAATGATATGGTCCTTGATCAATAAGACTGGGTCTTATTCCTTATCTCTTGTCACAAGGCAAACGCAATGTTAGTCCACATCTAAGGTAGCACTTCCTTTTGTTCCTAGGCTCTTGAACTGAAGGAGAAGGGGAATTTGATGGAGCTAGTCGATCCAAGGTTGGGATCAGATTTCAACGAAGAAGAGGTGATTATGACGATTAATGTAGCCCTCCAATGTGCAAATGTCTTGCCAGCAGTTAGACCTACCATGTCTTCAGTGGTTAGCATGCTTGAAGGCAGAACGTTTATTCAGGAAATTGTTTCTGACCCACCCAAGGAAACGAGCCACCACCAACATGTCCATGCAACAAGCATCACTGACAGTCTGGTTCACAATATGTCAAACGATGGACCGTGGACCTCTTCCTCCACATCTGCTGCTGATCTCTACCCTATCAATTTGGATTCTGAATACTGGAAAAACAGGAATTAGAGATATGTTGTATACATCAGCATACATATATTTTTTAATACTCTGCTACGCATTGTCTCTCCTTTTTGTTCCTCTCTTATTTAGTTGGAATATCTATAGACACATGATTGCATAGGCTTCTTAACAATTGTTGAAAGGTTCTGTATCATACTGTATACATGTTGTTAGAAAAAAAGTGTTCGAACCGCTATGGGAAAGTCAGCTGTGTTATTCTCCGTTACAATATCTACAGGATGCTTTCATTTTATTGAAGTAAAGGCAAAGTAATGTCGCGAGTTCGACTTTGAGAATCGAAGTCTTTAAAATATGATTAAGACTGTTTATTACTTAATTGTTCTAAACTTTACTATAAGCGAAAATCTTGCATTCTAGGTATGATTTTTCTTTGTTTCTGTCGTGAATTATGGTACAAAGAAATTTCAAATTTTGAAAATATCTTAGAGGCATTTTGTTGCTGCAATAACTATGTTTCCTATCTTTTTGTTGTCCTTGTATATCATCATTATAACAAACTTATAATGCCCAGCAATCAGGCTGAACTAAACCCTATAGTTCTCAAATCAAGCCCAGTTTGAAGCCGCCACAGTATGATTCCAAGTTCCAATACCAACCTTTCTTGTTCGACAGGGCTGACCATATCTGTCACATATAGGGCTGTAAAACGAAAGGAATCAAGTTATTTGGGATTAACCCTTGAAGAAGGATCATTTGGGAGCGATTCGTATGATGAAGGAAAGCATTTAGTAGTCCCTATTTCTATTTTATCAGATCTTTTGGCATTAATGTCTCAAACCATAATGAGAAATATAAACAGTGATGTGTGTTTAGGAATATAATAGCTACAACTACATTTCAACAAATCTTATTTAGACTGTTAGACCTAAGTCTAATGAGATTTGGATTCCGAATTTACCATGAGTTTATAGCATTCACTATACATATAATTTGCTATTGATAAAAATTTGAAGAAAATTTATTGAAGGGGATCTCAATGTGACCCAATCAACCAAGCTCAATGTGGGGTCCATCGGATTTGATCACTAACAACTAGAGTTGATTTAATGTGGGTTTTAACGCAACAATAAAGTTGTTCTATTGTAACTTGCCAGTCACGGAAACACAGTTACTAACCTCTTCTTTCCTCTTTTAGCAAAATGAACAAAATGTAACAGAAATCAGATTTCACAACCTTTGCATTATACACTAATTGATCTTTGCAATTATATTACCCAGATCCCTCGGGCATATATGATATAACCAAGTAAATCTCATTTCCCTTCACCTACCAAACTTACCCCTCCTTCTCGCTCTCTCTCCATCTTCTTATATATACACTCATACGCATGAGAGAGAGAGAGAGAGGTGTCCTCTGTCATTGCTCCTGTACTTTCTCTCTCTAAAACCATTGTTTTTTTCTCTGCTCTCTGTCCAGCCCATGNCCGGGCATATATGATATAACCAAGTAAATCTCATTTCCCTTCACCTACCAAACCTACCCCTCCTTCTCGCTCTCTCTCCATCTTCTTATATATACACTCATACGCATGAGAGAGAGAGAGAGAGGTGTCCTCTGTCATTGCTCCTGTACTTTCTCTCTCTAAAACCATTGTTTTTTTCTCTGCTCTCTGTCCAGCCCATGGATGCAGGGGCTTACTGCAGTTTCTGTGTGTTGCTCATGGTTCTGCTCCACATAACCAACGCACAGAACTGTGATTTGTTCCAAGGAAGTTGGGTCTTCGACCCATCCTACCCTATCTACAATGAGACAATGTGTTCGTTCATCGAACGAGAGTTCAGCTGCCAGAAGAATGGCCGCCCAAATCAGTTGTATCAGAAATACAGATGGCAGCCCCGTGGCTGCAATTTGGCAAGGTATTATCTCCGGCCATTCATTTTCATTGTCTTTGTTAGAATGTAATCTCCAATACTGTATTCCATACATCTAACTCACCCGTCTCGTCTCGTGTACCGAGTAAATTCTTTTTTAATCTCGCATATATTTTGGTTTTTTTGGTAGACATTATTACATAAACGGTACTTGAAGTTTAAATCCACAATCTGAAAATTCAATAACAAAGGACGGTGGTTAATAGGCCAACCACTAATCTCGAGAGTCTTGTGTATTAGACGGATGTGTATACATGAATTCAAATTTCGATAATTTTTTAACTAGTCCGAATACCTCTAACAATTAAACCAAAAAACAATTAACAAACTTACAACATTCACCTACTACATGGATAGGGACACCTGGGGAAAAAAATAGTAACATGGCAATGACAGTCTCATGGGAAGCCCATGATTCTCATGTGAAGTGGTTTTTGTTTGATTTTTCTTTTCCTACCTCTGTAGTACTGAAANACATGGATAGGGACACCTGGGGAAAAAAATAGTAACATGGCAATGACAGTCTCATGGGAAGCCCATGATTCTCATGTGAAGCCCAAAAACAAACTAAAAAGAAAAGGATGGAGACATCATGACTTTAATTATGTTGAAAGATCAAAATTATAACAAAGTTTGATGAGATTATAAAATAATATTATTTGGGATCAATTCTAACATTTATAAAATCGATCATACCTTGAACCTGTTTAGACTGATAGACCCCAATTTAGTTGTAACATTCGGTACCGTAGCTCTTCCAGGTTTCGTGCTATTGTATTTATTTCAAGGGCCTCCTTTTGTTTATAAATTCTCCTGGACTCTCTCCCATCATTTTATTTGCACTCTATCAACTCCGTTTGACACGCGTCTTTATAAATATTGGTGTTTTAACTACAAGGAGTAGCTCCAGTGCCAACAAGACACAAGATATAAATTCGAGTTTTGAATCTTAGCAATCTCGTGAGGTTAGACTATAAAAAATTTATTCTTCGTAAATATCTCAGTCTCAGCGGGATAAACCAGACTAGAAAGAAGATTAATCGAAATATACTGATATGAACTTCCAAAAAAAATATTGGCAATTAAAATTATTTTACCAATTACTGGAAAGTGGGATCTTTGGCATAGATTCGCTGTCTTTCACCATATGGGTAGGAAATTATTAAAGTGAAAAAGAGGTCACGGGGTTTGATCATGAAAAAGAAAAAAAAAAAAAAAAGAGGTCACGGGTAATGCTAGCTAGCTCTTTGCTCTTTCGTGTTGGAAAAATGTTATGGTGTCTTATCCAAATCAAAACTCAAATTAGAAGGTGTTATTGTAACAATTAGTTGCCCTGGTTTGGTATTTACCTTCAAAGAGTAGGTCAAACGCAGGCATCATCTGATGGGTTACTGCCGTGTTCTCTTTGGCAATTTGTCAGTCACGTGGTGGGTCGTCCTTCTGTGACAAGCATATGAGAAATCTGAGAAAGCTTTAGCGTTTTACAGGTTTAATGGTGGAGATTTCTTGCAAAAATTCAAAGGAAAAAGCATCATGTTCGTCGGAGACTCTCTAAGCAGAAACCAATGGCAGTCACTGGTGTGCATGCTTTATACTGCAGTGCCCAGACCCAAATTCAATCTCACCAGACAAGCCGATATCTCCTCCTTCACGTTCACGGTACGCTTCAACCATTTAAAATGCACACGTATCAACTTCCGCTGCTATTCATTGTGTAGGTGGGTGAAGTGTCCATTAGCTAGCCTAGCGGGCCATGGCCCAGCCCGGATCCTCACATTAAGATTCGTGGATAGCCCTATATCCACCGGGTAACGTCTAAGTTGCCTCTACATAAGAATATGCCTTTCAAGGGCTTGGATCAAATTTGATTGAAAGGTGATCCGAATTCAATTCAATAATCTGACAAATTTTATTTTTGTGATTTATATTTAAATTTATTAATAATTCAGAATCCGATCTAAAATTTAATCCAATTTGAATAACTTAATTAATTAAATTTTAATAAATTATATTTAAATTTTAACTAAAATTTTTAAATAATCACGTAATTTTTTTAATATTTATATAAAAATATTTCAGATTGAATCATAATTAAATTAGATATTAGTATATTTAAATTTGAATCTGAATCTGTGAAATATAAGATATTGAATTTGGTTCGGATTTAAGTTCAGATTTTCGGTAAACTTGTTACACTAATTCTCCAAATTAGGTCTCAATTGCTCAAAACTTATTAGGGCAACATACTACATGGACCTAGGCATGTTCAATGCCATGTTAAACCTTAGTCAGACTTGTGGATTTCACTGGTAAGGATTNAATTTAAGTTCAGATTTTCGGTAAACTTGTTACACTAATTCTCCAAATTAGGTCTCAATTGCTCAAAACTTATTAGGGCGACATACTACATGGACCTAGGCATGTTCAATGCCATGTTAAACCTTAGTCAGACTTGTGGATTTCACTGGTAAGGATTCGGAAACAGATCAGATAATCCATTATGGGACCATTGCACAACTCTTTGTCTTGGTTTAACCAACCATTGTGGTCCTCTTACTCAGTCTATTTTCAGCTGACTTCAGTGATTTCAATACAAATAATTGCAGAGCAATATCCTCTAAAATGTAATCANATGGCATTGTGGTCCTCTTACTCAGTCTATTTTCAGCTGACTTCAGTGATTTCAATACAAATAATTGCAGAGCAATATCCTCTAAAATGTAATCATCTTACTGTAAAATAGGTTACCATTGTTAAACTTAAAGTAGTCATTTCAGAAGCTATCCAAAACTATGAAGATGTGATTTTATTAGGATTATATGTTTTTGATGCACATAAAAAGATAGAAAGTTTAGTGGCCCCTGTGCATATTACCTCATCAAATAATCCTTCTATTGGTTTATCATCTTGCAGGATTATGGAGTGAAAGTGATGCTTAATCGCAATGTGTTTTTAGTGGATGTAGTGAGGGATGACAAGGGCAGGGTCTTGAAACTTGACTCAATAGTGGGTGGCAAGCTATGGAAAGGGATTGACATGCTAATCTTCAACACTTGGCATTGGTGGAACCGCAGAGGAGTTGGACAACCGTTCGTTCACTTCAAACTAATCCTTCTTCTTTCCTTCTTCTNAAGGGATTGACATGCTAATCTTCAACACTTGGCATTGGTGGAACCGCAGAGGAGTTGGACAACCGTTCGTTCACTTCTAACTAATCTTTCTTCTTTCCTTCTTCATTTTATCATATTTTTTTAAATAAAATAATGGGTCAGACATACTTGAACTTATGATACCTAGATCACAATAGAGTAACGTTACCTCTGATGTTTTTTTCTTATTTCAGATGGGATTATATTCAAGTAGGGAATGAGACATACAAAGACATGGACCGAATGGCTGCTTTTGAGAGGGCACTCAATACTTCGGCTGGGTGGGTGGATTCTAATGTTAACTCTACCAACACCAAGGTCTTCTTTCAGGGGATTTCTCCATCTCATTACAAGTAAGTGGTTTATTGGATTTATCTTGTGGGCAGTGGGTGTGTTCTAAAACTAGTCCAACTATTTTCAGTTATCTTCAAATTAGGCCCCATTCCTGTCCTTAATATTCTTCT